CTTTGTTTAAAAAAAGTACAGTTCAAAGAAAATTCAATTGATTAAATTAATAGATATTTATAAAATTAAGAATTAAGGTAAATTGAAAATTACTTTAATAATTACATATTCTTTCTATCTAATAAAACAGTCTTCTTATTATTTTCAGTGACCTAGGAGAATCAAAAATCGAATAATTTTTAATATAAAACTAAATAAACGTTTTATTAACACTAAGTATATGAATGTCAAGAAATTCTAAGACAAGTTGATAAAAAATACACATTATGTATAAAGCAAAATTGGAATATAAAGAACTATGTACTTTTCCAATTTTGCATTGTTAATATTGTGTTAATATTCCATGATGAAAAATAAATATTCATGTTTATTTTTAAAGTCATCTGAAAACATAAAATTTTATACTTAAAATTACTGTTTAACTTTATATTGCACTGTTTGATAGTAAAATAACTGTTTTCTTAATTCATGTTATATTCAACAAGATAGACTCTATACATATAACACTAAATGTATTTTATGCAATCATTTATCAATAAATGACAATAACAAGACAAAAAAATTGTAGGAATATTCATCATTAAAATTCTAATTTAAAGATGTTGAAAACTAATAGTAAGTCTACAAATGATGAAAATATATCGGAATTAGAAAAAATATATTTTCCTCAAATCATACTCAAAAATTAGGGTCAGTGAAGAATGGGTTCAATGCAAATCTTGTATAATATACTACAACGTGGGCTTATTAAAATGCAGCAAAGATTTTCTGCCATTTGATGGCATTTCTACAGGGCAATTTCTGAAAAGCAAATTAATTTACAATTGTAATATCTATAAAACTAAAGTAATATATTTTGATTAATCAAAATAGTTATTAAAAGTTACTCCATTGTACTTCACAAACATATTAACTTATGTTTTAGTGAAACGAGGTTAATCCAATCAACATTTTTTAATTTACATTGTAATATTCAATGTCTAGGTTTTACTTGTAATATACAAATCAAAGTATTTTAGCATATTCTTAATGAAACAATTAACTCGAATAAAAATTTAACAAATTCTGAAGTAAAAAGACTAATACCATAAATGACAACTATCCAAATTTTACGATGTCGACGCGAAATTTTTTCAGACGCCAGACGTCGGAGACACGCGTCTTCTCGCAATACACAAACGGCTTAATGGGCTGTTAATTATTCCGGGCATGCGATTGTAGAAGCCACCCAGTAAAGCGTCGATTGCTCGAAGCATGGCTGCACGTACTATTGTGTCAGCGGTCGAACGGAACCAACAGGATACCCGACACGCGTCCAGAATTTTTTCTTTCCTTTTCTTCACGATACCTAAGCCATAGTTGGCCAGCTGTTAGTACACCCTGATTCTCCCTACTTGGCTTCTCAACAAAACACGTGACTTTTATTTGATCAAATTATCCTATAAAAATAATTAAAATTTATCCTGTGAAGCTTTCAACTGAATGTATGAAATCAAAAACAAAACATTTAAGTGGTACTATAATTTTTAACACAATTTTGTATCAATGGATTAACCATGAAATATAGTAAATCATGAATAGAAAGACATGGCTGTTTGGACAAGGAAGTCTTCTAATAGAGAAATAATCATCCCTCCTTATACTAGTTACTTTATTCTGTATTTATACTCATTACTTTTATACTGCAATACAAAAATATAAATAAATAACAAAGAATAAAATGCAATATAAATGTAATATACTTTTAATTATTTTATATACCTTTTGGAATTAGATTAAAATACATTTAGTACTAGAGTTACGAAAATAGTCAAAATAACTGATTTCAATCACAAAATTAATATTGAATTTTTTTGAGAAAAAATATATATCATCTTAATTATTATTATTATTGTTGTAATTATTATTATTATTTATGTACTTAATTGCTAAATTTCTGGTTTTTACTGCCATAACATTGCACACTTTAAAAGCTTTTAAAACACGTTTATCGTTTTCCAGAATCTTAAGGATATCTTGTTTCGTTTCCACACTCGGTATCATACTATTCTTCTTTGATGTTATTACATGCGAGGCGTTCAGGCGTATAATGCCTACTTCGTACAGAGATATCGAAGGAAATATACTGCTCAGATAATGGAACGTTTGGATAGTGGAATATTCGAATACTAAAACATTCGAATAATAGAGATTCCACTGTATTATATTAGGTTATAATCGGAAATAAACTGCAGCTTTTAGAAGTCTAACCTTTAAATCTTTATGTACTATAAACTTTGAGTTTATGTTTATTCCATGATATACCATCTTAAAATTCAGATATTGTACTATCGTTTAATAGTCATGTTTATGTTTTTCGTTCTTTACATCAACACAACACTAGAGAAATATATCACACGAAGTAGCAGAAACTGTTTGACATATCGATCATGAATAATGTAGTTAACATAGTGGAACCATGGAACGCATAATGCAATGCTTCTTACAAACAAAAATCTGTCATAATATAAACCATGCTGTAAACGGTTTTAAAGTATTTGTTAAATTTAAATTTTTATGATACTGTCGTGGTAAAGGGATAAAATAACATACATTCTCATCAGTGGACGCTATATAAATCGCGATGGCTTTTATTTTGATTAAATAACTATTTCTAAACAAATCTATATATATTGCTTTAAATATCCTTCCAGTAAATCTAATATTTTAGAAGTTTGTTCGTACTATTATATCATAAAAATAAAAGTAGATAGAGCAAACATGAGTTTGGAACCTTTTTTTCTACGAGTTACGAACACCTGTTGCGTAATTTAATATCCTCCGAACTTTTATTTATGGAAATGCGCCAAAGCTTTAGTTTACGATAATTCTATTACTACACGAGGATACTCCCAAATTTATATTGCCATTTTATACGAGAGTAATATCTAAGATGTGCTATTATACTTTTTAAAACTCTCAAAGAATTTATAAAGCTTACAAAACAAATTATTGCGAATAGAAATAGAAACTCGTTTTTAACGTAATACTAATATTAGTACATGAAATATAAAAATATATATTATTTAATATTAATTACATTAATTAAACATTAAAAAATTAGATTGAAGCATGATCTAGTTATTATAAATGTGAAAGATGAAGAATGAAAAAATGATTTCATCATAAACTAATACATTATTATTCATTTATATTCGATAAAATCATCTTCATTGTTGATTACGTAGATAGCTTAAATTAACAACCGCCATTAAGTACCTTTTTCACCTTCGTTTATCGTGACTTTCATTGAAATTATGTTTATGTATTCTAATTTGCATTTTAATTAATTCTCAAACTGACTCATAGATATCGTATTTGAAAGGTTTTCCTGTATTTTTACGCAGAAGATCTTGAAGTTAATATTTATGCGTATTATTTCTTTTATCTTTGATTACTTTTATGATAATTCTTTACGAAATCATGATTTTATTATTACTGAAATATTTAAAAATGTGAATAAATTAGATTACCTTGTGCGTTACAAAAATAATAATAATTTGCTCAAACTATATTCTGTTTCCTAATGTTGCATAAAAAATTATACGAGAATGTTAATAATATTATAAATACTTCACAGACTCAAATTTTGAAAAGTTCATAAAAATTTAAATATACCAAGTTTTATTATTAAACTATCATGGGCACTATATATATTATATTTTAATAGTTCATAAATTAGATTAGATTTAGATTATAGATATAGGTTATAGCTATCAATCGAACATTTTAAAAAAGATTTTTAGAAAAAGTATCTTTTAAAAAAGTAATATAATATAAAATGACAAAAAAATAATAACTAATATAAAATAAGTCATAAATAATGTATAGTAAGGTGAAAGCAATTTATTACAAAAAGTACAGAAAATTGGTATTCTCGAGCCTTCTGTATACCTAATTTTAATAAAATAATACTCCAAAAAGTCGAAAAATCTCGAAATTACCTTTTAATAAATTATCAATTTGTAGAAAAGTAACAAAATTTTTCTTTATAGATTATAGTAATTTTTATCGTAATAAAATATCAAAAAATACACACACTTCATAAAAAACTAAAAAATATCTAATAAAAATTTAGAAATAATAAGAACAAATATCTTTTGACGAAGTTTAATACTTCGAAAGAAAAAATATCGCAATAATTAATAAGAACAAATAGTAACTGTAATAAAAGTAATTTGAAACTTGCACGTCGAGATGATAATAGAATCAAGTTTCAGAAACCGCAATAACATGCCTACGGGAACTAGTTATAATAAAATAATTAAAAACATATGAGAAGAAACTGACATCTACACTATAAACATATCTTTCTTATTGTCATTCCTTGCTTATACTTTATTATAATTACGATACTAGAACATTTGTTTAAAGCAAATAACTTTTATTTTATAAATTCTCTTTCTCGGTTTAAATTTCTTAATTCCATAAAACATACTTGAATATATATGCAGGAAAGATTAAATATGAAATTACTAATTGTAAAATATTAGAATGTTATTTTTATATATTTGAAAAATTATTTATAAATAAATATAATTTTTTTTTAATGAAAACATTTTTAGATCATAATTTGTTTCCTATATGAAGAGTTAATTTATATATCTTTAACAGAAATAAATTATTTCAAATTTGTTAAAATATATATTTAGCTAAATTAATTGAAGCAATTGGTTGGATCATTGAAAAAGTAGAGTGTCCTAATATTTATATCGGATCAAATTTTCTACAATTAACATTTTTGTCATATTCTGTTTTATATTTTATTTAAAAAAGGAGAAAAAATTATTTTTTGAAAAAATAATCTTACTGAGATTAAACGTATGACTTTCTCAGCAATAAATTAAAAAAATATAAGAAACTGTACTTTGCACTTTCAAACGCGTTTGCGCAGTGTAAGTTCAATGCAATTGACCGGTTATAAGAGAATACCTGTATCGCCATCTAGTGATATTCAGTTTTCATGAGAACTGTGAAATTGATGACGAAGTTCATAGAAATAATGCAAAATAGTTAATTAAAAATAAGATTGATCGTACTAGTGAATATTAAACGTGTTCTACTTCATACGTACCAACGAACGTGAGTACTAAAAGTAACATTAAGTTTTAAACATAAACATCAATTACAATCATCGGTTTATATCCACACCCTATCATAAGACATTTCTTACTTCTGTGTTAATATTTCATATCAAAGATAATGATATATATTATATCGAACAATACCCGTGTATTATCGTAACTAAATGTAAAAATTTAACCTAAACGTTCAATAGCAAATCTGAATACGAGTAAATTATATGCTATAATTGAAATGTCACATATATTTCAGTTTCTTTAAACAATTTAAAAATTTAATTATGGTAATTAGTGATTCTATTTAAATCAAAACATAAAAAGGAATTCACATATTAGATAATCAAAATATAAAAAATGTTTTTAATACTTTCTAACTTATATTCCAACTATTACTTATAATTAAAACTTTATGTTATGTATAACAGAAGAACAAATTTTATATTTTAAAAAAATATGACTTATTTCATATAAAATATTCTTTTTTCTTTTATTATTTAGTTTTACTGGTTTTTCTTATCACATTTCATTTTATATTTAAATGATATTTCCAATATTTATATGTTTGTCTTTATATTAAATCATTTTTTTGCATATTTATATATTTATTGCAAAATCTTTTTTTTTTTAAGAAAGTAAAAAATTAATAAAATTGACTTACCTATTGCTCTTGAAATACTAAATACTCCATTGACACGCATAATCCCCATACTTTTCATTACTACTCCTCCAGCTCTTTGTATCCTTTCCACCTCATCCTGAGAACAAAAATTTATATTGTTTGCATATTGTATCATGAAATTTTTATAGAACACATTATATCTATCACATATCAATTGTTTTTCAAACAAAATAAATAAAACCTAATTTAAAATTTACTGTCAGAAAATTATTAAACTAAAAGATAAATTTTAATATTTTAAAGTCATTGACATTAATTAAATAAATAATATTTAAAAATGACAGTGATAGGAACACAAATAGATAGCGACAAAAGATTGTTACAGTTTGAAACTTATGAAGATTATTTGGATTCCCTAATAACATTTGTTGATCTTGGATATTTAGGAAATCTTATTAATGCACGTAGATTAGCCGAACTTGGTTATCGCTGTACAGGCAAAACACTTGATAAAGATACATTTTATCGCCGTTTGAATGCTGTGAAAAATTTACTCTTTCCAATTTATAAACCATATGAATTAATATCAGAATTAATAACACCAAGGGGTAATGTAATGCAAGAATTGGCTCTTCGAGAACGTTTAAATAGATTGAAAATTATATCCACCATTATATTCGTAAGAAACTTAACAAAACTTCAATTTGAAATTTCTGGTTACATCGATTTTAGTGAAAGACTAGAAAAAGAAAATTGGCTTCCATATTTCCAAGGAAGAAAGAAAATATGGCCTTATTCTTCTGATCTTGCATATTACGATTGGAAAACAGGAAAAACATGTTTGAATGAAACATCAAATTATCAACCTGTTATAGACCCAGTACTAGGTCTTCGATTCAAACATTGTCACGATAGACATCACATTAACGTTGATCCTGGAGTGCCTTCTCCAGGTATATATACAACACGAGTAAGAATACATAGTCACGAATACAAACATATAATATTGTACGATCATGTTCTTCGGAGCAAATGTTAAATATACTCAATGAAAACATATATACTTACTTTACGATGAAGTCGATGAGGATTCACTAATTGAATAATACTGTCACGTTTTACTAATATAGCTGTTGAATCTCCTACCCAAGCAACATATAATTTTTTATTTAATATTAAAGTGCAAACTGCAGTAGTACCACTAGTGACGCTACGTGAGTACTGCAACAATAATAGCATTTAAAATAAAAATTGTAAATTGTACTATCATATCCAATAATTTATTATATACATAAATTTCTGTTTCTTACTTCGGAATGTGTTTTACTTAAAAACAGATTGTCTGTAACACGAAAAGCGTCACGTAGGGCAACCTCTGGATCAGTAGGATAATATATACTTTCTGCTAAATATTGATGCAAATGAGATGCACTATATGCAGCTGCATCTTGTCCTCCATGTCCATCAAATACTGCATAATAATTTGCTACAGAGTCATGCTACAGTTTGAAACATATTTTTCTAATAAAAGATTCATTACTTATATATATCGGTTAAAAAAAATCTAGTGTCTGTATTTACCACGATATCAAATATAGTGTGTAAGTCGTGTAAAACAACGTAGCGATCTTCCATTTTTCTTCTACAATTTTTGGTTCCACCTGCTGTTACTTGTGGTAATGGTGACGAAGGAGGAGGTGGCAATAATGCCAATCTGCTATTGTCCAGATAGCGAGCACATATTACATTAACTTTGACAGTAACATCTTCCATTAATGCTAGTGAATCATATGCTACAAAAAAAAGAGATTTTATCAAATATATTATCATTATTACAGACAATAAAAAAGTTTATTATACAATAACATACCTTTTCTAAATTTTTTAAACACATTGCTTTCTGCGCAATTTATCAAATCTTCTGGTTGTTTTTTACATGTGGATTTCATTTCTTGTATTACTTGACGAATCAAATATCCTTGTAAACTTGGTGGACAATGCCTAGAATGTAATAAAAGCTCTTTATTATATTTCAAGACTTTAAAATAATAATTTATTCATAAAATAATAAAAAATTAAATTTCATAATATAAATAATATAAAGAACAAATTTTGTAATACAAATACATCCCTGAACATAGAAACTATAAACATAATTGACACACAAGTCAGTAAATTGAAAGCAATAAATGTATGAAATTTTCAGTTCACAAAATTCAAAAATTCATTTTCTATAGTGAAAATATATTATCACATAGTGACAACCATGGATTTTTCATTTCGAAATTCTTTAAAGCGTAAGCATAAAAGTTGTTTACAATTTGTAATAAAAATAATTTTACATTAACCTTTAAAACACATTTCAACATTAATCCACTTTGTTTGTTAATAATAATTTTTTACTAGTATTAGTATTATATTGATTTTAATTTTTACAATTAAATATAATGATAGATACAATATAATGATTAATATATTTAAAGTAATATATACATGAAATTTTCTTTTAGGAACAACTTTTATCGTACTAGAAATTATATTAAATATGTACATGTAAAATTCACTACTAATGAGTTAATGATTGTCATTGACTATTTATTCAATTTATCTATTAAGTGAGATAACATATTTATTAAACAAGAAATATCTCAATTTTATTGTAGTTCAAAATATTTAATTTAAAATGTTAAAGTGATTTATATCATATTTTAAATTTTGTCATAGTTGTATAGTATATTTAATTTAATGATAAAAAATTAACATTCCTTTAAATATTTGTTTACATCGTTAAAACTTATATTTTATTATTAATATTAATTTGTGAATAATAATATTTAAAAAATAATTTAAAAAATAATATTTAATTACCAATCATAATTTATAGATAATTTAACAATTCTATAATTACAACTTACAATTAAAAAGAAAAGAAAATAATTTTGATTATAAAAATTCTGGGAAAATAGTAGTATCGTTACATTAAATAATTTAATCAATAGATGATTTTCTTGATTTTGTACTTTTCATTTCTCCCATATATATATTCTGATATATAATTATCAATATATATTGATATAATATATATTTATAATCTGATATATATATCAGAACAATATTACAATTTTATAGTAATCCTACTATAATTATTAATATTATTTTTATTACTATTACTACATAAATAAACAATCAACATTTAATTATCATTATTTAATTACATTATCATCATTTTGTTAAAAGTTGCAAGTCTCATCGTAAGACGATATCATCATAGAGGTAACTCATTTCCTACCAGTGTAAATATGTACTTCTATATCTTATCTAACAAACATAGCGCAATCAAATGCACCGCTTTATTTCACTCAATTTGAAAACAGTTGTAATTTATTACACGAAAGTAATAAATTTAATCTTCTTAGTAAAAAAATTACTAATTTATAAATAATAATGTACAAATTAATTTATTAAGAGAAAAATACTGAAATTAATAGAGTTTGAAAAAATTAGCCTGCACATACTTTATATTCGCCATATATGACAGTGTATCATTTAGATATGAAAAATCTATGGAAAGGAGAAGTAACTTTCAAGCGGCATTTGATTCAAGAACAAGGGGACGACGATTTAGATAAAAATTTTACCAAGATTATAGACAGCAATGACATCGAGGATACATTTGTTTCAAATGTATTAAGAATCAACATTTTTTTTTGTACTGGTCCATAGCAATATGTCTGAAAATGAAATCTCGTTACAGTCGACGAGAAAGCATCCCGAACGAACACCAAACGCATCGTCTCCGGAATATTACCGACAGAGAAGCGAAATGACATCGATCGTCGGCACTTATCAACATGAAAGCAATGAAAACCTCGATGAGTATTTCAAAGCCGTGGGTATGTTGAAAGCGATTAAAAATGAATGCGACCTACCTTATGATGCAAATAAAAATAAATACGGTTTATAACGCTGCCATTGCCCATTTATTATAATTTTACATTCGTTATTTTATTCTTGAAAAATTAATCAATCGACCAAACAAATTATCAAATTGATTTATTTATTGTACGACAACCGAATGTTTTAATGTTCTATCGATTATGAATATAAATTAAAATTTTTATTTCGATTAGTATTTAATATAGACGCGTGCGCATGCATACACACAACACTCATTATATATATATATGGATTTATAATTATTTGTATCAACAGTGTATATTTTATGTCTTTTTTAGTTACTGAATATTTCATTTATTAAATAAAGAGTTAAAATGTTCAATTTTAGTGGATTATTTATTGAAAACCCGTTATAGAATTATATCAAATTATTCCGATAGAAATTACTAGTTTTTTTGAAACGACAAAATTTCAAACACGATTTATGTCCTACTGGAAACAATGACACATAGAACCGAAATTAAGCCAATTTCGTTTTCAATTGCATGCACCTATAGGTGTACCATACATTCCACGGAAAATGATGTGCATGTCCAGTCCACGACTGGAAATATCGAACGATGGAGATAAATGGACCATTCGTACCATTACGATGATTCGTACGGCAGAAGCGACGTTTATACTCAACGAAGAATATGAAGAACATATGCCTACCGGAGTCGTATTGAAAGTACTATTATTTTTATATTATTTTTTAAAATATTACGCTTGTCTAAATTAATTACGATAACATCTCAAACTTTCACTGTAAAAGCGAGAAAGAGAAAAATATCTTTACATTGACGTCTAATTTAATATTTTGCCATACATTTAGTATTTACCGTTAGTCGGTATGAATTTTTCGGAAGGAATACTTTATTTGTATGACAGTTTAAATTATATCATTTATTTAGTTATATTATACATATTATATATGAAATAACATATATTAATTATACGATATAGAAAAGCCAATCATATATTTTCGTGCATATTATATTTAAATCAATGTAAATAAATTATCCAAGTGTTTAATGAGACGACAATTTTTTTTTAATATTTTTTATAATTTGTTTTGTTTGAAATATTGAATTTTCCGATTTGAGGTGGTATAAAAAAGGTTTCATTGTTTATATTTCTGTCTGTTTTCGTTTAGAATGTAACTACAATGGAGGGAGACAATCTAGTAACAGTTTCAGTTGGTCCAGATAACAACAAAGTCATACGGAAACACGAACTTACACAGGATGGTTTAGTTTTGGTACGTTTCGATACACTTACATTTACGTTTATACGTCTATTTAAATCTAAATCTAAATCTAAATCTAAATCTACATTTACATTTACATTTGCATTTACAATCGTGTGAACTCTTTAAACATAAAACAGAAAAAAGCTTATTTTTATTTTCTATATTATGTATAAACATAAACGATTAATTAAAAACGTAAACATATGAATATAATTATATATTGAGAATGACATTATATTAAGAATTGACAATATAATGCAATAACCAATGATTATAACGAAAAACGTTATATCGCTTCAAAATTAGTTCAATTAAGGCCTAGCAATATTTAATTTAATTTTAAAATTAAATTTCCAAATTTGTCGTCCTCTCGAAATTAGCCATTACAAATATTTTATACATATTTATATTCATTTGCACGCGTACAGTTTTTGAAATACAATATACTGCACCTGGCAGCAATTATAATACGATTATTCACTTCAATTAACTAGAACCGTTAATGTATAATCAGGACCGTATTTATACTTCTGAAGACCCTAGGCGCAACATCATTACGATGTTTGAAAAGACTATTTAAAAGAAATATTTAACTGTTTGATTTCTATATTTACATCACTCGATTATTATTCATGATGTAAATTTTTTTCGCGAAATTAATAGGTAACTAAAAATAATTAACATAAAAGTAAAAGTCTATTGATATAAATATAGACTATATCAAAAAATCAATGTATGTAATTATTTGGATTATCATCTAAATTGGTGAAGTGGCCATGATTCCGAATAATTACCAAAATAAAAATTACTAATATTAATGTTGTATTCTCTATTTTCAGACAATGACCCACGAAAAGAGTGGCCAAGTAGCGAAGCGCTATTTTAAGCGTCTTTCATAAACCTTACTTATATTTTGGACGAGAAATTGTTTTTATCTTATTTCACACGGATTACGTTAACTACTGATAATTAAGTACTTAATTACTTATATATTTGTAGTGTAAGGATAACTCGTCGACCATACAATTTAAAAGCACATTTTAAACAGCGAAAAACTATCATATGACAATTGTAAGCTATATGAAAAATGCTACAATTTCCAGAAGAAAAAAGTCGCGGAACAATCAGAAACATTCCTACTGTCATTTACAGCATGCGCCCCGCCTACTTTTATTGCGTGTCACGTGTTGCTAGTATACAAAAACATGGATAAACAAAAATTATATTACGAATTAAAAATAAACAACTAAGATGTCAAGCACAAATGATTTCAAATTGTATTGTAATTAAAGCTATCGAAACATTTTGTTGCGTATAAAAATATAATAGAAAACAAAACTGCTGAAAGTGTACAGTTTACAAGACCTATATTGATGCCGGCCGCCATAGACGCTATCAACGAATAAACACGTTTTATGTCCACCCACGCACTGACATGCTGCAATATCATTCATTTAAAAAGTACATTCACTTACCTCTGGTTGAGGCAGTGTAGAGTCACATTGATGATTTCACCGACAATCTCATTTTCGTACAACTTAAACCAGCTCACCAAAGTAGACAGCTGATCGTACCGCGTTACGGGGACAAATTCGGAGAAAAAACGGCTATACGCCCCAAGATAATCACCATCAGGACAGTCTTCCGCCATTCTTTTTTGTCTTTGTGAGAAATCTAAGTTACCGGCGCACACTTGTGTCAGCACAAAGAGCACAATACTCGACTCCGTTTACGAGATGTTAACACGATACCGTAGTAGCTGTCTCTTGGCAAGTCAAATTAGTGGCTTTATTTCGTATCTGTTATTTTCCTAACAGAGTGATGCTCTGATCTAAACCTATTGGTTGATAGGCGATATTTGTATTTAGATTACGTCACTCATTCAGCATCGCGTACATACGTAACACTACGGTCTGATCGAACAACGCGTTTCTCTATTGTGCGTCTCTCAAAGAAGTGGGGAGGATTTGCCGCGACGTTTAAACACTATCTCTCCCGTTTCTTTGAGTCCAGCGTTGCTTTTTGCCTTTCCTTTTGCTACTGGCCACTTGCGGATTGACTCTCGTAACGGAGGAAAAAGTGCGTAACGGAATTCACCGAGTAGCGTACTGCGCATGTCCGACACGGAGCTCTGCATTTGCTGTTTCGGCCGTCTATACTATTTCTTTGCAATACGTAATTGTTTACAATACATATTGTTATTTTTCTTGCAACTTTTATATATGCTTTTAATTTTATTACTTCTTCCAACATTTATTATTATTGTCCCGATATTGCATATTTTATACTTTTATCTGTATTTCAAATTTATATGGAAAATGTAATAATTAGAAAATGAAGTAATCACAAATTTTAAATCAAATTATTAAATTACTATTGTTATTATCTATATTTATATGTTAATAATGTATTTAATTACTTAAACTATTACTTTTATGTAAACTATATTTTCAACGTCTTGTTTATTAATTTTATATAGTTCCATAATTCTTTACATAAAACGGTATATCGTTAAATAAGATCGTAAATACATACATATATTTTTAAAACTTATTTGTATTATAATACAATATAAAATAACTTTTCGCGGTTCTAATATAGCAAAATAATTAAATCACTTATTAAATTAATTTAAATTATCTAAACGAAAATGAAAATTATTTCAATCACAAAATTTTATTTTTTGAAAAATATATTATTTCTAGTATATATATACTAATTATAATTCTTAAGTCGGAAGTAATTTTTATACATATGATTATAATTTTTAAAAAAGTAAGTTTAATATTATAATACTTTGAATATTAAATAGAACAAACCTATTTGAAAAAATAAAATACAGATTTTTTTAAAAATGAAGTAAATGAAATCCACCATAAAGGAAAATTTAATTGTTATAATCTATATTTATTTGTACATATATTGTATAAATAAGGAGAGCACAATGTAGAAAATCATTTATTAAAAAAAACATTAATGAAGTATGGACTCATTCCAAAAAAAATGTTTTTAATCAAATATTAAAATTAACCTATTATAAATAAACTTAATTTTAATTATTTTTATTTAAAAAATGTATAAACACTTAAATGTAAATGAACGCTACTTTTGATTTAAAATATTCTTAAAAATTTTATTTAATATTTAATTAATTTATTTCTTTATATTCTAAGATTCTTGTAACATGATGTATTTTTAATATAATTCATTTCTATTATGTAAATTTTTGCATATTAAAAATATGAAGATATTAAAGATCATATTAAAGGTAATATAAGACATATGATAATTCAATATTATTCTTTACATAAAATTTATTATTTATTTAGTTTAGCCAATTGATATTTCTTGTACCATGTTGTATAATTAATTTGTAGTTTAACATATACGTATATTTTTTAGTATAATAAAACATAAAATCTTCACTGTTTTAACATTAATGTTTACTACTTAAAAATACCTATAAAAAAATTTAATTCTTTCTACATTATGATACAAGAATATTTTCCAATTTCTTTTCTTTGTTTCTCATGGTCGTTTACATATTTTAAATATGAATTTTTATTTCTTTCTTCTAGCCAGGTAGGTAATGGTGCATTCCAATTCTCTGGAGGTTTATCTCTCTTTTCCCAAACATTATTACCGTAATGACCTTTTAGTCTCTTAAATCTACGTTCCCTCTCATTAGCAATTAATTCATTCTGTAAATAATGTAATATTTTTTAAAATATTAAATATTTTATTATAAGCAAAATTATGTAAAATATTTTTCAAATAAATTTGATTTCTAACATACATATGCTTCCTTATTTTTATTTTTTTCCCATTGACAACAGTTTATGTAATCCTTTTTCCATTGTTTACAATCTAATATTTCTCCAAATATAAAATATTGATGAAAGCGTGCTCTTATGCTACTACAATCTTTAAATTCGTCTTTATATATGGCACATGGCTTGATCTGAAATGTACAAAATATTCAATTGTTAATTATAAAGAAATAATATATTGAGTTTTTATTATATCTTTAATGTTTAATCACAATTAAATTTAATTATAATTAGGAATTAAATATAACTGATACTAAATATAACAAACTATATTAAATATACAGTATTACCATCCATTCATATTCAAGCTCTTCAGATGCAGCATTTTCAGGTGTATTATCAGGTTTAGACATCTTTTCTTCGATTCTTTGGTTAAGTAAGATTATCAGCTATTATTTCTTTGCGAATATCAGTTTGTGTAACAGTTTATATTTGCAAATACAAATTAATGATATTTTCTTATTATTCAACACTAATTTTGTTTGATATTTTGTTTACGTAACAGTAAAATATTTGATAATAGACATCTGAAGTTTCGAATGAAACGTGATTGCATAATGTTTATGATAAAGACAGCTAATGTTATAATTATGTATACCATAATATGAAAGTCATGACACAGACTTTAGAAAGAATAAAAATTGATAAATTTTAATTTAAGGCATGTTTAAATGATTTATAATTCTTTATTGTATTTTGTTTTATCTTACACTCCATTAACAAAAACTAACATTATGAATTCGCCTTACGATAAGGATACGAATAAAATATTCTGTAAAAAACAATAATAGATAGTTTTATTTTTTTCTTTTTCAAAGCACAGTGTTTCAATAATGATATTGTTCATATCATCTTTTAACTACAATAAAAAACATTGTATAAGATATTACTATATAGTTATATTTCTTTTACTACCTAAAATTTTCTGGTACTATATATATAAAAACCGTCAACTTGCATTACTTTTTATATATTTTCTGATATTAACAGTATCTGAATAAATATATTTGTGATATAAATTCGTGTATATTCGTATAATATTATAGACTACAAAAAGCGCTACAATTTCATTTACCATTTGTGTCAGTGATGCTCATATTAACTATCTTTACTAAATCATATTTTTATTTATAATAAACTTAATATATTATTATTATCAGAAAATTTATTCTGAAATTTTATATACATAAAACTTATAATAAATATATGTAACAAATAATAATGATTTTAATATCTTCAAAACATGAAGTTAGCTTACTAATGAGTGTCGCTGGTTTCCGCCATTCCCTCTGTACCCCTACCTTTTGTCACAGACGTATCGTCTTGTTATGATTGTAATTCTCGTTCTTTGAACTGAAGGTGTTTGCTACCCCGCTGTAGAAAGTTATATTCGCTGTCAGTTTTCTAACCTCTTTACCGACGAATGTTCCGGTGTTTCATATCGTGTTTAGTTAATAGTGACATATAATCGCGTAACATGATGTCGCGGTCTGTGCGTGCAGAGACTCGTAGTCGTGCCAAGGATGATATTAAGCGTGTAATGCAAGTTGTTGACAAAGTTCGCCATTGGTAAATCTCTTAACATATTATAGATGCACGAGGAAATGAAAGGTCTCAAAAAAAAAAAAGTAAAAAAAGAATGTAGTAAAACTGTATGGATATCAAAAACGGATTAAAATTTTTCTTAATTGCGAGATTTAATAGAAATTTTGCATTACACATGTCAGCTGTAAACAGACTTTTGTAGTTCTGACATATTTCATGCGTGTTGATTGAATAATAGTGTTCTTGTCTGCTTTTTTAATAACAGTAAAGAAGGTAGCTTCTCTGTCTGTTGTTTTAATATTAGTTTAAGGAATGCACTTTTCATGTTGATACTTTTATAGGGAAAAGAAATGGGTTACGATAGGAGAAACTACTATGAAGATTTATAAATGGGTACCTATATCAACACTTGATCAGGTAACTAAGAGTTGTAAAACAAATAGAAATAAGAAATAAAAATTAGTATTTTATTGCTTAGAAGAAGAAAGGCAAGACCGTTGCAGATAAGGAAAATGGTTTGCCAAGAAAAAGTGGATTAGATTCCTCCAATTCTAATTTTGGTCTTACAGAGGACTCAAATACATGTGAGTTAAATGTTAATAAATTACAGAATATGTGTTACTTCTGAATATTAAAATTTACAAAATTTTGAATGTATTAGGTTTTTCAACAGTTAGTGATTCTCAAGGGTTAACTGATTTTTCTGCACATCTGGGATTTTCAGAAGATTCTAATTCGCAAAATAGTGAACCAACACCTAAAAGGTTAAAGACTGATTAAAGTTTATTCTGTGACTGTTATTTGGGATATAAGATATTTAGGAAATCATTTATATCTTCTATGAATTTGCACACTATAAAATTACCTTAAATGATAATTGTAAATGAACAAACTGAAAGAAGTTTTATTTTCCACTTTATTTTATACTTAATGAAAATTTTCATGCATTAAGAAAAGAGTAATCATATTAAACAATTTATGTTAAATAGAGTGAATTTATTTTTTATACATAAATTTGTTGCAAAGTAATATGGTTTAATTTAGAAAATAAAATTAATGATATTTTAATAGGAAATTTGTATTAAATGTTCAATCTGTTTTATGATCTGATATAAAAAAAATTAGTATAAAATTACTTTTTCAAAACAGATTGTACATTTTAAACAATATTCATATTTTCACAGTATTATTTAATTCATGATATACGTACAGATTTTTCATTTATTTTAATGTAACATTTAAAATAATCAGTTATAAAACATTAACATGTTATAATTTTAGAAATGTAAAATAAATAATGATACATTTGTTTCTTGCTGTAAAATAGTATTTTCAAAATACTTATGTATAATGTTACATTTATTTTCAAGGTATTTGAATCTAAATATAATTACATGCTCAATAATTGTTCATTTATATCATTTATCAATAGTTATTCAACTGAATATCATTGTACATATTTCAAGTATCATTTTTTTTTTTGCAATTTTATATTTTAGAAAGAACTTGCATTCCGTGAGGTTATGTTATAGCACCATGACATGTACAAAATATGCTTTGACACTTACAAATAAAACAATACAATTGTGAACGTTTGAATTTATATTTACATAAGTTCAAAGAATTATTAAAATTATTACTTAATTATTTTTATTTGTTCAGAGATAATTGTACTTAACATGTATAATGTTTTGGAAAGCTGTATCAAAAAGAAGCAAAAAAGAGAACATTTTATTATATAATTAGTTGTTATAATTTTTGTACGATATCTGTATATATGGATTCTCGTTTATAATTTTAATAATCTCTGTATGTTATGAAACATGTACAGAAAAATATCTAAATATAAAACAAAACTCCATGTCGTTTTTGATACCTTTAATCCACTGTAGTTAACGACAATAAATTATTGCATTATAAAAATTATGAATTAAAAGAAATGTTTATAAATATTCATTATAACATATAATTTTAATTGAAGTTATACCAAAAGAGTTAGAATTTGAATTAGCATGAAATTCTAATATAAATTATTATATTTATTGCTTTTAAAACTTCAAATGTATGATATTTTTTAAATATTTTATATTATTTCTTTAATATAATTTGGTATAACTTTACATGAGTTATGTAATTTTTATGAAAAGAAAAAAAGAATAGTATTTATTTGATTAATTTTTTGACATAAAACTAAAGAAACAGATTAATGTATGTGCTAATAAATATTAAAGTATATTTTAAAAATTGTATCGAATATAAATGATTATAAAAATTGTAAAATTAACATAACATTTGTATTTACCAAGGTAAAAATTTCCCATCATGTTGAATAAAACAACCGGTATGGTTTTCGGTTAATGAATTTAATGTATTCAAGATGTTAGTGACACTGGTATCAACATTCATGGGTGCATTGCTCCCTCCCATATCTGTCTGTACCCAACCAGGATGTAAACAAGTGACAAGGATCCCATCCTCCTTTAAATCAACGCTCATTGACTTTGTAGCTGCATTAAGTGCTGCCTAAAGATTAGATAAGTAATATTAAACATATTTATTATAATAAATCTTTATTGTATTATGTCTGTCCTAATGTTAAATTAAGCTTTATAATAGAATTTTAAAATAGGACAAAACAATTTTGATATAATATTTAATTACATGAAGTTACAAAGTTAAAAAATGAGAAATATATGAAATAATACAAAAAGCACGATATAAATTACATTGTACATATTTCAATATTTTTCTAGGAATAATACGAATAATATTTTTACCATTTATATATTAAAGAGAAGACAATATTGTCATAAATAAATAGGAAGATATAAATATATAACTTTAAGAAATTCCTGAATTTTCAATATTTTCATTTTTAGTTTTTGTGAATTTAATATATTATGATACTAAGTTAAGAAAGGTTTTTAATTATAAGATTTACTAAATAAAATTACTAAATAATGAGTTGCAATTACTTATATAACAAGCTATATATTGAATCAAATATAGAAAATATTACCTTACTACATCTATAAGGATAAAATCCACCCATAGTATTGTCAGTAATACTTCCAAGACTTGAAGACATATTAATAATTGCAGCTCTGTTAATATTCATTTTTGATTTATCTACAAAGTTATTAGATGCTGCTTTCAAAAGTGGTAAAAGTGCCTAAAAAGTTATAAATATAATTATTTTTAGTTATGATTTATAAAAATTAAGAAAGCATAAATACTATAAATACTATAAAAATAATACTTAAATGAAACAAAGAAAAAGTAGTATAGTTCATATTTTAATAATTTTAATTGTAATGCAATTGGTTTTTAAAATAAGTATTAAAATAAAAACAATCTTTGTTATAATTCTGGAAAGTGATAAATATTTTTGTATAAAAATTATATACTAATTTGTTACTCCTTATACATAATGCAAAATCATTTAGATTTCTGAAATATTTTTTTAACATTATATCTTATCTCTAAGTTTTAGGACATTTAAAATTTGAAGAAACATAAATGAATATAAAATAAAGATTTAATACATAGTATAAATATAGAGTAAATAAATTTATAAATAAATTGTTAAAAATTTGGAACTTACTTTTGTTAACAAGATTGGAACTACTGTATTCACAAAAAATGTTTCTGTAAGCTGTTCTTCCTTCACGAGACCAAGCCTCGTAAATTTCGTACTGATTCCTGCATTATTGAAGAGGATGTTTAATCCTGCATTGCCTACTTTTTCACTTACAATTTGTATTATTTTGTCATAATCTTTCGTATTGACCAAATCTTTAAATAAAAAAAAGGATGAATGATAATTTTTAATGTTCTTTTTAAATGAAAATAGAATATGTAGATGAATAGGCATTAATGATATAAATTAATTAATATTTAAAAAATTTTAAGGATAATGATCTTTTGTTGATATTATGAAATAATAAGAAATGTGTAGATACGCAGAATAGTGATGATAATTGAAATAGTTTAAAGTATTATCAATAAATTTATTTGTTTCGACATATAGGAACATAATTTTATAAGTATTTTATTAATTATAAGCATATAAAAAAGTTTTAATTCATAAATAATACACATTCAAATTAGTGAATTTGATATAATTTATACAGTGATCCATTTATGTAATAAAGAAATTTCGAAAATATATAAAGATAATCGAAATATAAAATAAAATGAACGTACATTTTTTATAACATCACTTTCGAGTGATCATAGTGTTGCTAATGTAATTTAAGGAATATTGCAAATGTTTTACTTGCAAAGCAAGATATTCAAGTTTCTTTGATTGCATTAAAGGAAACGTTTGTTTCTAATGCGCTGTACTAAGGAATAAACAAATTAACAAAATTAAAAATGTCAAAAATTCAAAGGAAATATAAGTTATGCATATATTATGCATTGTATTAAGAACTTAATAAAGGCACATTTTTTTCTTTTACTTTGAAAACTTATAATTATTGATTTTGTTTTAATTTTCAAGTAATACACTTTGAAAATTGGTAGCTTTACATTTCGAAGACTATTTTTTCTTACTTTACTATCTCTGTAAACTTTCAAAATTTATCCGCTAAAATCTAGGATCTATATATTAAATCTAACGACTTCGTATATGACTATATATCTCCTTGACAACACAATGTTTCATTTTTACACTATAGTAACTGTTCTAGTCAATAGATTTGTATTTTTCGTAGGTCAGCTCCGTACGGTACGTTCGCTACTCTTGCATTCAATTTTTATTACAGTTTTTATATAGAAATTATTTATTATCATAGTTCGCGTTTATTGAAAATTATTAAATATTATAATTTAAATATAATTCGTCAATTTTTTAAATCTCATTAGTATTAATTAAATGTAGTAAACATTACTAAATCATATAATTCTTTTTTTCTGTAACTTTTTTATATTTATAAGATTTTATTAAGACCGTGTAGCGTAAAATAATATTTCATTCGCATCATAATTCTTTATTTTCAAAATATTACTACATAGAAGATGTTAGACATAATATAGAAAATTTTATTGTGGTTTACTAAAAATTTTGTTATACAAAACAACATTTGTAACACATATTTCTTCATTTATGATTTTCATTTCGTTAAATAAAGATGCACGAATTTTTTACTTTTACTTTAACTTTAATATGCAATGGTATTTTATACTTTTCAAATTTTTAAATAACCCAGGCTTTTGTGGAGTACAACTTTATTTCTTTTTCCTCCGTATCCAAGATTCTCTTATCTCATCCATCCAAATACTATTATTTTTTCTTCCGACAAAAATTTGTTTAGAATGAAAATTTCTTGCTTATATAATTTGTTTAATATTGCAAATTTATAATAGTTCATATTTCGACTGTTAGGGCAAACAAAATTTATAGTTCTTATTATCAGATATCGTAAGTCCGTATCGACCAGTAGAGTTCTAATGAAATTCCATCGTTTACAACGGCAGAAAACAGAAGCAATCAAATTCTTGCTCTGCAAACAGTGTAAATTTTCGTCTCTCAAATTTTCAACGCGAATTGTTTCCTAATCTGCACATTTTAACATGAAGTCTCGCAACGTGAAGAAGAAGAAATTGTGGTGCCTTAGTTGTCGTGAAAAACCGCAAACTATGGATTCGGATTATAGTGATAAAGAAACAGAAGATGTTAAAAAAGATACTGAATCTTTGGATGATCTTGCAACGGAAGAAATCGAGTCTATGGGTAGGTTCACAAATTTTTCTATAATTTATTATTAATTTGTTAGATATTCCAGAAATACTACAGTACTTCTTTATAAAAAAAGAAATATTATAAGTTACGGATACTTGTACAAGCTTCGTATTATTATCTTCAACAGTTTCGTTTTATCTGTCTGATTATTTTTTGATAACGATCAGAGATGCTTCTCTGAAAATAACTTTCGCGTTATAATATTTGTATTGAAGATTACTTCGTCTGGTTTTAATTGTTTATTTAAAAAATGCAAAAAATGTTATTTTTTACTTCTCGTTATCTTTACCTGCATAAATAATTTGATGTCTCACTGCACATTGCAACATTGCAAAATGTAATATTTTTCGCTGTCGCATTAGACATGTGAATATTTAATTTTACTTTTCTTTTTTACTGTAAAAAGAACAAAATAGCTGAGAAGGAATACTAAATATATAATATTTAATGTTAATAATAACTAATTTGAAAAGATTTAACGACAAATGTAAATATGCGAAACGTTATCAAGGACAAAATGAATTACAAATTCATTTTTCATTTATTAGACGTAAACTTTTGAAATTTTTCGCAATATTCATAATTTTAGATTATAACGAATCATAATGACACTTTCACGAGATAAATTCCACGTTTAGATTATATGTTACAATTATTATAATTTGCAATTATCATTATATATTGAGATTGTTATGATTTACGATATTTACATCGTTAATGATTCTATAAATGATTTAGAAATAAAATAAAACAAAGTGAAATGAAATTAAAATAATTTATAAATATCTCAAATTTAATTTATTTTGATTATTTTCTCCTTTTCACTTTTTTTAATACTTATAAATTGATAAATAAAAAAACGAAAAATATAATTAACATGTCAAAACATATCGAACAAGATAAATTATATCCGTGATAGAATATTAAGTAATTTAGACATACTTAAAGTTTAATTAAGTGTAAATTTTACATTTATTTTTATACTTATACAAATATCAGTCATGATAGTTGAAAATTAGTCATGGCTAAAGATATATTTATTAAATAAAGATTGCCTTTTATGTAATTTCTAAAGATGAAGTAATACCGGTGATAAAAGATATACAAGTTCTCACAATATTATATTACAATTTTTTCTAATATATCATGTAGTATATATGTAAAATAATAAGTATGATTTTGTAGATGAACAGAACATCTTGTGCTTTTTCTTTTCCTAAGTACTATTTTAATTTTTTTTATAATTATTTATTAATAAATATATAATTGTCTAATTTTTTAATATATACAAACATATATTAATTTTTTTTTTAGAATCATTTTCCTTAAACTTTACTTGTATCGCTTTTAAAATTTTTGTTGACGCTTTTAATTGAATTTTCAACAAAATATTTTGTTAAAGACGTTGCATATAATTATATGCTAAATTAATAAAACAAAGATCACACTTTATACTCGCATAAGTGAACATTACGAAAACTTTATTTATGTCTTATTATTATTTGAAGATTTTATATGACAAATAATACATGAAATACTTTCAATAAATTCAAGATTTCACAATATTATCTATTGAAAAATCGAGGGTAGATTACTCGTCTGAGTTTACCGATAGCATATTTTCCTAACAAGAATGATAACGTCGGATATTCTTTTATTTATCAATTATGAAGGTTTTATATAGAAAAAAAACAATTTAAAATAATATTTAAAGAATATTTAAAATATATTATTTTTTACATTTAACTAAAATTTTGTATTCTAATCGATTCTGAGTCAAAAAATAGTCCGTTTGTATTGTTCTGTGAGAATAAAATAATCTTTCATATTTAATAGATTAAACTAACAGCAATTGATATTAAAAAATAACGAATTTCTCAATTTTTTAAGATATTAATTCTTAAAGATCGTTTTACGAAATAGAGAAACACGTGTACTATGTTACCAAATCAATTGAACTTGACCGTATAATCTCTTTATACTTGCTAATAATTAGATATAGATTAGAAAAGAAAACGATAAAATGTACAGTGAGTCACAGCGAAAAATCGTAGAATACATATTAGAAAATATTTGGTCTCCTAAAAAAATTTAGGAATAATTTGGATAAACGAACTCGGTGGGTATATAATCCAATTATTATATAATAATGTAAAAATAGGTGAACTTCCCTAAGAATTAAAAAAGATAACAAAGAAAAATCATGAAACATATGAAAGGTTATATTCTTTAGCTCATTAGCAACTAGTAAACTCTCGCCATCGAATTAGAAATCGAAATTAAAAAAAGAAAAATAATAAAGATGAAGCAAACTACGGTAAAAGAGCGATTAACTGTTGTAAAAAAGTTTGAAGATGATGTACGGAATGAATGAAAAACTTTTGTACGTAATGAAACATTTTCTTATATATGGTGTACGATTTTGGTTGACTCACTGGAGGTATAAATATGTTCATTAATATAAACATATTATATACTTCCTAAAATTAATAATATTGTACAAATATTTTCCTTTCAATGTTTCAGATTTCTAAGTAAGTTTAAAATAAAAAATATGTACATAAAAAGATATTTGTAGAAATTTATATATTATTATTCAATATCGATATTATTGTTGAATATTATTATTATATTATTATTTTTAGAAGCAAAAAACATAAGTAATAATATGCAAACAAAGATTAAATATGTAATATGTTATTATACCCGTTATTAAAAATTGTATCGAAACATTTCTTTATATGTAAGATATATATTAAACCATCGTTATCTAACTTTTAGATTAATCCAGAAAAATTTCATAAAACTCTTTATTTACTATACAATTTTTGTATAAATTATCAGTAATAAAGAAAATCTGTTTGAAATTACAAAACGATTATAAACTTGATTACATACCTATTTCGATAATGTGAATATTCTTTGACTTCTTAGCCAATTCAGTTAATTCCTGAAAGAAATATAGAGTTTTCAAGATTATTCGAATATTAGAAAAAATATTTTAAGCTATTGACCTTTTATTAATTTCCGATTAATCGAAAAAATGTAAGAATTATTCCAGAACAATCACTATCCTTGAAAATAAGAGTTAATCGAATACGGAAAATAATATATGAATAATTTGTAAAATCACTTATTTGTTAGGTATCCCTAAAAAAGAACCTTAGGCAATTTGTGTAAGTTTTCATGTATATCGATAATTGTTTGCATTTTCCCGGACTTAGATTAATATCTTCCTGAAAAACCGGTTTCTAAAGTTCGCTCTATAGTGAAACCTACAGTGACTTGCATGTGAGCCTTTTCTTGCGTAATTGAGCAATGCGCGTTGCGTGAATCACTATAAATCAGACTTAAAACTCATGCGCCTCTAGCAACCATATAACAGATGGCGGTAAACGAACCAAGTAGGCGTCAGTTCGCTCTTGTCTTTTGGACGTAAGAAATCGTTCCGATTGAGTATTGTGCAGCACCGTTAACATTCTCCACAGAAAAAATATATTACTTATTACATTCCTTTGTAACAAGAAACTTAAAACATTAAAAAAACAAGAAATGCCACCAATTGGTAAGTGAAATATATAGATTGAATCCGGTTATTGCATAATACGAACAATCATTCATTCTATGATCAATCTTACCGTTGCTTTCTTCGCATCTCGGCAAGTTGCAAAGATATTCTCTGGTGGTTGCGATAGTTTCACCAGCTGTTTCACTAGACCTAAGCCAAGCCCGCGGTTGCAACCAGTGATCAAGATCGACTTCATTTTATGTCGCGTTTTTCTTTCTGAATACTCCTGGTGTGATTTTTTAACACGTTGTGCTCCGTGAACAATCTTATCGTATATCGTGAAATACGAGTGTCATTAGGGTGACGTCACGTGGCCGTGGTCGGCTGACAATAATCATGGCGACGTTAACGCTGCTCGCGAAGTTTATGACATTCCGCTTCGCTTACTCCAAATTGATTGAATTGCCATGGTCCAGATGTAACACTTATCCTTATGGAAGAACTGCGATGGCTTGCATGTGTAGTGAGTGACAGGATTCTATAACTTATAATTGTGAATTCGGCCTAACTTTGTTGATGTTACATAAATATCATCATACTTGAATGTTTGACAACCGGTCACTATATTGGTTAGGTTAAAAATAGTCGAAGTGAAATAATATTATTTAATGATTTATTTAAAAGTTTTGTTTATTGATATACCAAAAGATAGTTGTATTTGTAATTATTGTCTTATAAAAATTATATTTTTAGTTATATGATAGAAAAAGGTTTACATAACTCTATTTCCATTATCATTGTTTTGACATAGAGAGCTTAAATTTAAGGAATTTTATTTATTTTTGTATATATGTTTGTTGCAGCTGATCAGAAATTTATGTACGACCTACTTGTTATTGGTGGTGGATCAGGAGGTTTAGCAGCAGCCAAAGAAGCAGTAAATTTAGGTGCAAAAGTTGCAGTTCTCGATTTTGTTACACCAACTCCTCGAGGTACCACTTGGGGCTTAGGTGGTACTTGTGTAAATGTTGGTTGTATACCAAAGAAGTTGATGCACCAAGCTGCATTATTAGGGGAAGCAATTCACGTATGTCTTTCATTAATAGATTAATAACTTTTTGTAGTTTAACACGTTCCATGCCACATGTACCACTGGTGGTACACGTTAAACTTGATCTTCAGGCCACGTGTACCACCGGTGGTACACTCAGAAATATTTATTTAATGCGCTGAAAACATATGTTTATGACAAATTTAATTCTGTAAAATATATTTCCACTAAAGGAATGAGGAATTATACAAAATGTAGTATAGAACAAAGCACACAAATTTGTTTAATTGTTATATATACAATAGTTATTAATTACACGTAATGGTTAACTTTATTAAAACAAGGGATGCATAAAAATGGCTTATTCGGGTAATCGCTGCAAAACGTCACTACTCTTCAACTTCTTTTTACTAATCGAAAATTTTCCAACTGACTGACTTTTACAGTCGAACTGATCGCTGCACCATGTGTACCATAAATGGTACACAGTGTGATAACTACTCTAAACAAGCTAATTACTTATGAATTGATGGTGTAATGACATATTGCGTGATAATATATCAATTTTTGACCAAAACGACAAATGGCCTGGAGATCATATCGGGCAAAAATGGCTTGGCACGGAACGTGTTAACAAAACTTTGAATATTGGAATTTTATTTTTAGGAAGCAGCAGCTTATGGTTGGCAAATACCAGATCCAGAAGCTATTAAAATTGATTGGGTAGCATTAAGAACATCAGTACAAAATCATGTAAAATCTGTAAATTGGGTTACACGTGTAGAACTTAGAACAAAGTTAGCATTACTCTGTTTCTAGTTTTTAAATACAATTTGCTTTTATTTGTTTACTCATTTTTTTTATTATTATAGAAAAATCGAATACATCAACGCACTTGGTTATTTTAAAGATGCACATACAATATGTGGAAAAATGAAGAATGGAGAAGAAAAACTGTATACAGCAAAGAATATTTTAATTGCAGTAGGTGGTAGACCAAGATATCCTGATATTCCTGGTGCTTTGAAATATGGTATAACCAGTGATGATATTTTTAGTTTAGAAAAAGCTCCAGGAAAGACTCTTGTTGTTGGTGCTGGATGTATCCTTTTCTTATAGAAATTATTCAGTAATAATGCTTTAATTTTTCATTTTTATGTAATTTCAAACAATATTCTATGAATTTAAAAAAAAAAAATGGATAAAAAATTAAATAATACTTTAGTCATATTCAACTTATGTACATACACAATGAAATAGATAATTTTTATCAAATTTTTGGCAACAAAGATTTATCGTATAAAATGTTTAATGTTTTAAGTTTTATAAGTGATAAAAGTTTTAGTTTTATTATTCAGAAATATAATTAAATACATATAGTTAATTATAACTCGTTCGAGATTTAAAAAGTATTTTCATAATCAAATTAAAGTAACACACAATAAACGTTCTTTTAAATGTTTAAAATAAATTTAAAAGAATTTGGAATACTAATTTCTATAACATGAAATTTTGGTTTAATAATTATGAATATCATGATTACGGATTTACGTGATTTATACATAATTTATATGAGAAATAATGGATATTTTTTTCAAATTGTTTTTGCAACAAACAGGAGACTTTTTAAATATGATACGAAATAAGCTCTAATCCATTTTGTATAAATTGTTCTACTTTTAAAAAAAGGAATTGAGTTTAACAAGAAGATTTTAGTTATATTTACATAAATTTGCAGCGAATAAATAAATTACCCTTGATAAATGTAATTTCTTATATTACATATTTTGTTAATTGTTAAATTTAAATTAAATATTTCTCAATTCTTTATGTATTTTTAAAATATTATAAACATCAATTTAAGATTACTTTAGTGAGTGTTATATATTTTTAAATTTATAAATTTGTTTTTTAAAACATTTTATTGTTCCTTTTTCCTTAATAAATGGATAGATATTGGTTTAGAATGTGCTGGGTTCTTAAATGGTTTAGGTTATGATGCAACAATAATGGTACGCTCAATTGTATTACGAGGATTTGATCAGCAAATGGCAAATACTGTTGCTGAGGAAATGACAAGGCGTGGTGTTCACTTTATTTATGAAGCAAAGCCATCGAGAATTGAAAAACAAAGTGATGAGCGGCTGCTTGTACATTGGGTTGATAAAGTATGTTTTCTAATTTGAAATAAAAATAATTAACGTGTGTGTTATATTTATATGATGATAAATATCTCTGCTTTAGGATGGGACAACACATCAAGATATTTTTGACACTGTTCTTTTCGCTATTGGTCGCAAACCGCTTACAGAAGAACTGAAACCAGAGAATATCGGTCTCAAACTTATTCCTGATACAGCAAAAATAGACGCAATAGATGAACAAACGAATGTTCCAAATGTATATGCTGTTGGTGATGTGCTTCATGTAAGTTTAAAATTTTTTATATTCATTTTAAAGGAAAAGATTTTTTTTATAATTAATTTTTTATGATATCACATTAATATTAGATATATATTTGTCATTAAAGCAGAAAATGATATGTGAAATAAAAGTAAAATAAGTAAATATGCATAATTTTCATTATGTATTATAGAAAAAACCAGAATTAACTCCTGTTGCTATACTCGCGGGTCGATTATTAGCAAGAAGGTTATTTGGAAACTCAACAGAACAAATGGATTACATTAATGTAGCGACAACAGTATTTAGTCCTCTAGAATATGGTTGTGTTGGTCTCAGCGAAGAAGCAGCAATTGCTATTCACGGAGAAGAAAAAATAGAAATTTATCATGCATATTACAAACCAACGGAATTTTTCGTACCACAAAAGGATGTTTCTAATTGCTATTTGAAAGTTGTTGCTTTTAGAAATGGTGATCAAAGAGTGCTTGGTATGCATTTCATTGGTCCTAATGCCGGTGAAGTGATTCAAGGTTTTGCTGCTGCTATGAAGTATGTATCTAATTCATTTTTTCTTTTTTTAAGGATACTAATTATTACTTATTTCATCAATGTTGTTTTCTTTATTATGTCTATTTTTTTTAGATGTAATTTGACATTCCCAAAATTAAAAGAAACAGTTGGAATTCATCCAACAGTGGCAGAAGAGTTTACACGTGTATCAGTAACTAAACGTTCTGGACTTGACCCTAAGCCGCAGAGTTGTTGTAGTTAAAAATGTGTAATACTAGACTTGTTGCATTGCTGATATTTGTGAATATTTTTAAGTATGATTAACGATAAACGTTACTCATACTTACTGTACCGACTACTTGCTCCGGATTTAATTTTTTAAGTAAAGCTCCCCGAAATAGAAAATATTTTTTATTAAACACAAGTAAAATGTTAAAATATCCTCGATATGAAATTATAAAGCAATGTTCGACGCATCGCGTTGTATGAAAATTTTGCTTCCTTCGGAGCGTTACTAATTGATATGAATCTATATTGTTGTACCTATAGTGATTTTTATAAACGTAGTTTTTCCATCTACCATCATATTCTTATGTATACATTCAAGGGAAAATAAATAAAAATAGAAATATTTATATACCGTTTATTTATTTAATAAAAGTAAGCATAGTGTTATATCATAAAATTTTATGTAGTAAGTCATTGATAAGAAAAAACCAAAATTTTTATATTAATAATGAATAATGATCTTTAGTTTTAATAAGTGTATTAACAAACTTCCAAAATAATGTATCTTTAAAAAAATACATTGTACCATCTGTCCAAGTCATAGGAGCATCAATATGAAATGGAATTACACGGCATCAATATACTGATCCCTGGTGATAAAATTTTTAATATTCTATACCAAAGAACTGTACTCATTTTGGTTTTTAAAATACAAATTGTTGAAAATCATTTATGCATTCATGCAATATCAGAGTAAATAAATTAGCTATTAGAATAATTATTCATACAAATATAATTATTTTGTATAATGTGTTGCTACAATGCTTCAAATAGAAACAAGACATAGAATTGGTATAAAAATTAAACATCATTTATTAAATATCTTTGCTAAAATTTATAAAAATTATCTGCAAATAGATAAATGTAACGTGTATATATGTATATATGTATGTATATATGATTAAAGAATATATTTCTTAATGTTTTTTTAGTTAGATTATTTATTTCTAAAATGTATTTTTCTGTTTTCTTGATTAGATTGAGGTTAAATATTTTAGTTATTTGAGTTTAAGAGAGTTTACGTCATAATGTTTTGCATTGACAAATTAATTCATAAAGTAACGAATAAAATGGATTTCTAGTTAAAAATGACAAAGTCTATAAGTACAAAGTGTCATTCAAATTAAAAATATTTGATGTTTAATTCTTTAAATATAAATATAGTTACAAATATAATTATAATAATTAAAACATACGTATAAAAACTGAAGACATTTCAAGTAATTTTGTCATTCCATTCATTTAGATTTCTAATTAAAAATGATTAGATCAACAAACTTGCCACATCAATAAAAAGTATAATACTGCCGTCAATTTCATTCCTTTACCCAACCTTATTCCGTGTAATATTATCCGGCAAATCACGAAATAATTGCTGAAGTTTCATTGGATATTTCTATTGCATAACTATCTTCAACATTTTCACGAGTTTTAAAACTCCAGACATACTATAAGTAATAAAATATATACTAAATTATATTTACTTTGCAACGTTTCTCAAAGTTTTACGTTATTTCCATATTTTCCTGATAAATAACCTATTTACATTGACATATTTCTGTCAAACTAAATTATAACATGTTTCATATTACGTCAAGGTTAAATCGACGTAGAACGAGAGAAGGTTAATATCTGATTTTATCTCATCACATTTTTATAATTATTTATAATATTATTATAACTGTTAAGTTATTACCATTACTTAAAAACAAGAAATTTATTGTTGGACGTCAATACAGAATCACAGTGGCCATTGCAAATATCGGGGATATTCTCATCATTCTTAATGCTTGACAAATTTTTTTCACGATGATGATGATCATTCACAGTTTCAATATTTTCATCAGTAATTGCCCTTGGGAACTTTTATGTAGTTGACGTAAACAGAGTAGAAATCGTTATTTTCTCATATTTTACATCATCCATTGCTGACAGCAATAATGTCGTGGACACTATTGTTTCATTATAACTTATTTCTTCCGGTGTTTTTTCTGTTAGTGGTTAGGATACTGTTCTGAAGCAAATATAAAGGTTGTAATTAATTTCTTATAGCACGTTCCTTGTTAGTTTGAGAAATAATAAAAGTGAAATTTTGAAGAGAAATATCGAATATCTGCATTACTCATAATTTACGTGGTGTTGATTTTGACTGGTAAATAACTCAAACGTTTGCAATATTCCCAACAGAGTAATATAATATTAGTATGTCAGATGGTATAGTAAATAATATAGTAATTAATAGAGTAATTAATAGAGTGATAACGATTGAAAATATTATAATATTTTTGTAGAAATATAATATATCTTGAATATTTAAAAATATGTACTATTATTTATTATATATTATTAATATTTATATATTAATAAATTATATTTATACATATAATGACGATGACATAAAAGAAAATGCATATCGAATATTTTTGACTACTCTCCAATGGTGTAAAACTTTACAAATTCGATGATTAATAATTCGTTATAGTCTTTGGTTAGATGAGTATAATTAATTAAAAAAATAATATTATATATAGATATAGTAACAATGTAGCTAGTAATATTAGTAATAATATAAAATATAATAAAATAACCATTACATAATTGGTGCAATACTATATTAGTGATTAACAGTATAATGTATAATATATTATATAATAAACAAA